ATGTTAAATAGCTTGCCTGCCCCCTGGAGACCGGGATATGGGCTTGTCTTTGACCCATGCTGTAGCCAGGAGGTGGCGCCAGGTTGCTGCACCTGTGTGAAAGCAGGGAGGCAAAGCAGTTCCTCTGTGTTTCAGGTGGTCCCTGTCCGGACTAACAATGGCAGCTCGAGAAAGGCAGAAGGTAAAGAAGTAAGCTGGTGTAACTGTGTGGGAGGAGTCAGAAATGAGGTTGTGTAGGAGGTGCTGGGATTTAAACTCAAGCAGAGCAGCCATCCAGGTTCACTGGTGCTCCCTTTCTTTCCCTCTCCCCTCCCGTGGTTTAGAAAGAAGGAGGGTTTCTGCCATTTAGGATGTAGTAAGGGATTTGGCCATGCAGCTTGAGAAGGTGAAGCTGCTCTTGGCCTTGCAGGGAGTAGTAATGAGGGAAGAGACATGCTGTCTGTAGTAAGGGATTTTTGCCATGCAGTTTGAAAGAGCAGTGCGAAGGGAAAAGTAAACACCCTGGCTGACTCCGGAGCTGCAAAGGACTTTCTTGAAAGATCCTGACCTGCTGCACCTGGATTGTTCCTGGACTATTAAAACCTGTGCCTTTCCTGAGTTTCACCATGATCCAGAATAACACTACACATGCTTCCCTGGACTATTATATGGAGGCTGATGGCAACGTATTCCAGATCCTGCACAGATAAGGACATGGGAACCTTCTGGGGATGCTTTTGGCCAGTAGCCTGGTGGGGAGCATGGGAAGTGCTGGGTCTCGTGGGAAAGGAGGGCTCCAAGCTGAGGTGCTCTGAGCCCTGGCCCCCTACCCCTGCAGGGTTGGAATGTTGTAAATAAAGATCTGCTCCTTCCAGCATTAGTTGTGGGGTCTTATACAAAGGTACCATGTGGATAGGCCCTGGTCTGCAGAGTTTTGGCAAGCTCTGTAACAATATTAGCAATAATGATACCCTTCTCATCAGCATACTCCTGTGGTCTTGATGAGGAGTGTGGCCTCTGGGCCTTTGAAATGTGGCCATTGGATAGGTCTTCCAGCTGTAAATTATAGATTCCCCATGCTCCTGAAACTCAGTCCATTTCTACACTGTCTGCTGTAGTGAGTTGTTCAACATAAGCCATCATTTTTTTCATGTATTCATTCAAGTAGAGGTTTCACATCATCTCATAGGATGCTTGTCAGGGTGTTAAAGCCCCTATGTTGTGGAAGTGTTCCCAAGCAAAAAATCTCTCCTTGGTCCCCTTGGCCAAGCACTCTCAGAATTCAGTCCCAACCACACTCCCCTTTGCCCTGCTGATGCATGCTAGCTAGTTATTGCATTTCCTTTGGGGAGATAGCCCCTTTTCTCCCTCACTAAGCCCAGGATCTTCCTATTTGGGTTTACTATGACTTATCCTCAGTTATAGGTCTACAGGCCAGGGAAGGTAGGGGAGCTCTCTAAAAGTAGAGAGGCCTCTACATTTTCTTATAACTTGGGAGAATATTAGCTCTTGATGGGGAAGGGCAGGCCATGTCTGCAGGGGACATAGATGATTCTGAGCAGTCAACGTCTTTAGAGGCATTCGCCCAGGTGTCTCCATCCCAGTTGTTAGAGGGTGGACTGTGTGAGGTCTCAAGAGGTTGGAGAACCTCCCAGCACCTCGAAAAGTAAACATCTCCAGTGGCAAGATTCATGTCCTGTGGCAACATTTATGTGAATAAATGTCATCTGTTTTCTAAAATACCTTAATTAAAGAGTCATTATTTTTACTTACAGAAATTTAAACTTCTCTGTTTAATGTTAAAACATTTATGAAATTTAAGCCCACATCTATTTTTTTCACTTTTATATTTGAAGTTTTCATATAGCCAATGTGGACTACTTTTGTCTCTCAAAAATGCTATCCAAATTTAGAGCTCTCCATTGCTGGGTAGACACCTCAGTCCACCTTATTTTTGTTTACCTATATCTTGGCTTCCTTTTGAGATCCATAATGCTCAAGAATAACCAAACCCTCGGGTTATAACGATCCCACCTGCCTAGTATTTGTGGGCCAGTCAGAGGGTCTTCAGTGTTGCTGTGTACCCGCATTCATCTTTGGATTGTAACCTCTCGGATTCTCAAATCTACACAGTGCTCATCCTGCAGCAGCTGAAGGCTCAATACTGGAATTTCAAAGTGTGGGGGAGGGGTGGTCCCAAAGGAGTATACAGTTTTGTTTTGTGCAATTACCCTTGACTCAGGGTCCGTAAATTATTTTCTCATCAAATACTTTAATATCTTCCCTCTAGGATTAATCTCCTAAACTTCTGGCTCCTTGAGGGATTTAGCTCCAATTCACACAGAGCCCTTTAGATAAACCCCATTGCGTATTGTGCAGAATTGAGTCAATTGATCCTTTTAAAAGGTGCTGTTGGAAGGCCCAAGTATTGAGAGTGTATCATTGTATTGTTTATCTTCCTACACACCTGAAAAAGCTGGGAATAATAACAAGTCTACATTTGCAGTGATACATTTTCCTTTCAGAAAATGTTAATTTTGTTACTCACTTGGACCTAAGCAGGCAAAATCTAAGGCATGTTTCTTCAGACAGGTGAGTTAAGTGATTTCCTATATGGTCTTCAGGAAGGTAGATATAAAAAATAAGCTTAGAAGCCCAAGAAAACATCATCTCTAAGCCTACCATGAAGGGAAGGTTGGTATAAGTAGAATATTTAGTCTGTGTCATTTGATCCAAATTACTTAACTTGAATGTACATTTTGGTTGAATATTCCCTTTAGTATAGATACTAAAATGTGCTATAAGATACATGGGTTCATCAAATGTTAGAATTGGGAGGCTTTTCTGGGTCTTAATTTCTTTGCTTAGGTTGGGTATTATAAATAGAAAACAAACCTCTCAACCAACTGACTTGAATTCCTGCTGCTCATGCCCATAGTCACATACATCCCTAGAATCATAATCTTTTTATATCAGGCTTTGAATTGAGTAATGCTGGGAAAACCAAAGTCATGTGCATTTTCACAGCTGGAAACTATTGTTTTCACACAATAGTTTGAGTTGGTTCAGATCGTAGATGGGTATGCTCCAGTTTTATGCTCATAATTTTTTTCCATAGCCTAAGTTTACTGTGACCCTCCAAACACTTTGTTTCCACCTTCCCTGAGTGATCGTGAATACAAATATAAAAGACCTGAAATGTGTGTCTATGTGTAGAAAATATTAAATTCTTGAAACATTTCACTGTTAAGGTATAGTTTTTCTGATTAATCTTAAATTCTACCCCTTTGAGGCTATTTCTACCTAAGCTCCATGGCCTCTGAGATGACAGGAAGTAAGCAAATTTTCATTTCATTAATTTCCTCTTCACCAAAATCCTCTCAAGCTTTCTTAACATAGGAGAATGTTGGTAGACTTCTGTCAATACTTCTACTGCTGCACACCCTATTCATAACTGTGTAATTTTGCTGTTGGAATCGTTACGATTATTTCAAGGTCCAAAATGCATGCCTCCCTTCCTTCATTTGCCTTTATTTGTATTGTGATCACTTCCTCCTTTTTCACTTCTCATTTATTCTTTTTCTAAAAAAGTCTTTATTTTGAATAAATACAGATTCCCAGGGAAATTCAAAGGTGGTACAGAGAAGCTCCTTGTCCTCTTCATCCAGGTCTCCCCAATGCTTACATCTTTCCACAAGTGTACCACATGAAGAATCAGAAATTGACGTCAGTGTGATGTGTGTGTATAGTTTTGCATCATTTTATTATGTGTGTAGACTTGTAAAAGCACTACCACATTCAGTATACAAAATTATTCCAACTCCATAAAGACCTTGTGCTACCCCCTTATATCACACCACTGCTTTCTTTCCTACCATTCCTAATCCCAGGCAACAACCAACCTGTTTACATCTCTGTAATTTTGCCGCTTTGAGTACATAATATATACATGGAATCATAGACAATGTAACCTTTTGATATTGACTTTCTTTAACTCACTTTAATGTGACTGAGACCCATCCAGGTTTTTGTGTATACTTTATTTCCTCCTATTTGTTACTGAGTAATATTTTATTACTCAGTAATGAATATGAATATATTCTTATGAATATACCATCATTTGCTTAACCATTCAAATTGTAGGATATTTTGGTTGTTCTGAGTGGCTATTATTAAAAAAGCATCTATCAATGAAATCGTACAGGTTATTATGTGGACATGAGTTTTCATTTCTCTAAAGATAAATGCCCAAGTGTGTTCTTTTCCTCCTTAAAATATTGTTTTTCTTTCCCAGCTCCTGATAACAATCAGTTGGCTACAACTATGGCTCAGTATTGAAGAACTGGTCTATTCTCTGATGGACTAAAATATTTGATGTAGTTTGATGAGATTACTGGGTATAATAGTCACCAGTGATATGAGGAACGTAGGCATTTTGGAGAAGCCATCATGGGGAGATACTGCTGAGAATTTTTATTCTTTTCCAAAGCCAACTTCTGTTGTGTTCTGCTTTTAGACATCAGAAAACTTATCTTTTCCACAACCCAGCTGATCATTTTTCTAGAATCTAAGGAATTGGTGAGGAAGTTATAGTCCTAACACCCTTTACCTAGAATGAGAGTATCAGCCTGAATTAATCAAATGCACACAACGCCTTTTCCTATGAAATGTTTTTAAGATATCCTTGGGTCAAAGGCAGAGATTTTTAGAAATGTAACCTCATACAGTTAGAGGATTTACCTTAGATAACTTCCAAAGCTCACTTTTAGGTGTAAATTATGTAATTCTCCTCCAAAATCCTATTTGATGGAGGAAGAAACTGAAGAGCCCAGTAAGATTCAGTGACTTAGTATCACACAGATAGGAGACAGGACAACCACTGGGGCAGAACTGGAGTGTTGTCTGTCAGTCTGCCCTATGAAACGTAGAAAACTGGAAGTTAAATTCAGATTTAAAATTGCTAAGCCCTCAATTACAAATTTATTGCAAAGAAAAGTCTTTCATTACAGATTAAAACAGAAATGGATTATGAAAATCAAACTTTTGTGATTGAGTTTTTATTCATGGGCTTAACAAATTATTTCCAGTACCAGGTTGTTCTCTTTGTGATACTTCTCTTGGTTTATCTTGTCACTTTTCTGGAAAACTTGGGGATGATCATCCTCATTTGGATAGATTCCCGACTCCAAACCCCCATGTACTTTTTTCTCAGTCACTTGTCCTTTGTGGATGTGTGCTCTGCTTCTGCCACTGGTCCCAAGATGTTGACTGACATCTTTGTGGAGAAAAAAGTCATCTCTTTCCTTGGCTGTGCTGCCCAGTTATGGATTATTTGTCAGTTTGTAGTGACCGGCTGTTTCCTCCTGGCTTCCATGGCATATGACCGGTATGTAGCTATTTGTAAGCCCTTGTTGTATACACTCAATATGTCCCAGCGGGTCTGTGTGCAGCTGGTGGTAGGGCCATATATACTAGGTCTTATAAGTGCCATGACCCATACGACGTTTGCCTTTCACCTCCCTTACTGTGGTCCAAAAATCATCAATCACTTCTTCTGCGACCTTCTTCCGGTTCTCTCTCTGGCATGTGCAGACACCCAGGTCAATAAACTTTTGCTTTTCATCTTGGCTGGAGCTCTGGGGGTACTCAGTGGCATGATCATCATGGTCTCCTACATTTATATCATCATCGCCATCCTGAAGATCCGCTCTGCTGACGGGAGGCACCGAGCTTTCTCCACCTGCTTTTCTCACCTCACGGTGGTCTCCATCCTTTATGGGACACTCTTCTTTATCTATGTATGTCCGAGTTCTAGTTTCTCCCTGGGCATCAGTAAAGTGGTGTCTGTGTTTTATACAGCTGTGATTCCCATGTTAAACCCACTTATCTACAGCCTGAGAAACAAGGAAGTCAAGGATTCATTCCTAAGGATGTTTGAAAGGAAGAAGTTCCTGATGAGCAGGTGAACTAGAATACCATCTGTACTGCAGATCGAGAGCTAATCTACATGGAAGATGCAAGAACATGGACTGGCTGTTGGGAGTCCTTTTGTGTTGAGAATCACTCTGTGTCATTGACAAGTCACACAATGTCTTAGGTTTCAATTTTCTTCTGTTTGGTTTTTTCATTTCTCATCCGGGAGGGATTAGATGGAGAATTTTAAACTGAGATGGTTGGGTTATTGAACTCCAAAACTTTAAAAATGTTCTCAAGGCTTCTGACCAGGAAAGGAGAACTTCTTTGTTAAATCCTTCATGCTGTAATCATAACCAGGGACTTAACAATACTTCTGTTTTGCTTTACTAGGCATTGAGATCCATCAATTGTCTAAACTTGCCCTTGACTTTTAAACATAAACTTAAAAAGTGTGTTGTAGTCAAACAGCAGAAACTTCCAACTACATGGTAACTTCTGGGGATGTAATGTGACTACACTTAACACTGTATTGTGCTCCATAATACTACCTCTGTGTTTGGAGTAGATATTCTACAAAGACCTTTTATATTCCCTATACTTTCTGTTCATAGCAGTAACTCATTGGGACTTTGCTGTGGCAATTATATGATCTGTGCCTAGAAAGTGCAGAATGCATTATAATCCTTTAATAAAGTATTAGTTATTACTATTATTTATTAATTTTTGTGTCATAGGTAGGGCATTAATTTTTGTTAATAGATGATAAGCCTTGGAAGAATCAGTATGTTGTCCAAGGCCACCTACTTTGGCCTCACAGTTTTATTTTCTCCAGGTACAATGTTCTTTCCACCAAACTTCTGAGCCTTTTTCCCTGGAATGTAATAGCACATCTAAAGCATAAAGGGATAAGTTTGTATTTTTTGCAATCATAAAGCTGGCTGAGATCCCTACATGATCTTATCTTTGGAGGTCTCTATAAAAGATGTTTAATTTTAGTTCACTGACTTTGATGGATGTAAATAGTCTCTGTTCTAAATTTTTTTTGTTCTGTTTTGCTTATTTTTCAGCATGCTTTCTGCCAGTTTTTGTGTCTAGGTAACGATGGGTCAAGATGCTATTCATCAAATTTTAAGGCTGATGTTCTTTCTCCAAATTTGTGTTAATAAAGATTCTTCAGAATGACCTCGTATCTTAAATTCTTAAAAACTTAGCTTTAAATATTTAGTATTATTTTAGAAAATGAGAGCCAAATATATTTTATAGCATGTGCTTTCAGTACTTATGACATACACATTTCACATTCTTTATGAAACATCATGTTTCTCCTCATTTTACTCCTTAGTCATCATCTGTTAACATGGTCTCAGCAAATCTAGAATGTGTTGAAATAAAGGATAGGCGACATTCCTAGTGAAAAAACACTGAAATTGTTCTTTCTTAAAAGTGTTGTTAAACTGGCTACCACTAGATGACAGCATTCACTTATCAATCACAATGAAATTGTCTACTAATACTTCCTTTAATAATTGAAAATATCAAGATAGTAGGCTTAAAAATGCTTTCAAAACTCTAATTATAATTTGGGGGGGCTATGAAATCATACAAATTTTGTGTTTGGCTGTGCATTTATATATATCTCCAAGTTCCAATTAGTAGATGAGTGGATAAAGAAAGCTGTGGTACATTTACACAATAGAATACTACCTGTCTATAAAAATGAAGGAAATGTTACCTTTTGTCACAGTGTGGGTGGCTTGGGAGAGTATTATGCTAAGTGAAATAAGCCAGTCAGAGAAAGACAAATATATGGTTCCCCTTATATGTGGAATCTAATGAACAAAACAATCTAAAAAACAAAATAGAAGCTGAAGCATATGTACATAGAATAGACCAACATCTGTCAGAGGGGTAGGGGCTGAGTGAAAAAAGGTGAAGGGATTAAGCAAAAAATAAAAATTATCTATCTATCTATATCTATATCACACATAGGCATATGCAACAGTATGGTGATAGCCAGAGCTCCAGGGGGTTGGGAGAGGATGGAAGAGGGCAAAGGGAGGATAAATGGGGATGGAAAGGGACTTGACTTTGGGTGATGAGTGCATGATGCAATATTTGGATGATATTTTATTGAGTTGTACACTTGATTTTATTAACCAATGTCACCCCAATTAATTCAAAAAAATAAAGTGCACAACACATAAAAGTTTAAAGTTTCTGATATACTTGAACATCTTTACCTTTTATATAGTGAAAGTAAAGTATAAGTGGGGAGGGACAATTTTCCCATGATATGCAACAGAATTATTATTGCACACCTGTTCTAGAAACACAGAGTTCAGATATTTTTACTCCATGGAACATTCTTATAACTCCTTCCATTGTCCTAATGATAATAAATAAACGGGCTTTGTAACATTAGCTGCAAATGATTGCCACAATGCGTTTCATGAGCATCCATCTCCACATATAGTTAGTTTTTTTTCTTGTGATGAGAATTTTTAAGATCCACTCTCCTAGGAACTTTCAAATATATCATAGAGTATTATTAACTGTAGAAACCATGCTGTACATAACGTCCCCAGCACTTATTTATCTTATAAGTAGGAGTTTGTACCTTTGGGCCACTTTTGCCCATTTTATCTAACCCCTCTTCTGTTAATCAGCAACGTGTTCTCTGTGTCTGCAAGTTTGGGTATGTAGTTTTAGAATCCACATGCGTGTGAGATCATACAACATTTGTCTTTTTCTTACTTATTTCAGGAAGCAATTTAAAAAGAGATCTTAGAAATATATGTTCTAAAGAAAAATGCAAAACAGGCTTACACATAGAAATTAAAAATAATTGTGTGTTAAGCTAAATAGGAGGAATTCAAATACTAAGTTTTAATTAAATCAATAAGTGAAGAAGAGATAACGTTAAATATGATGAGATGAAAGGGATTTTAAGTATTAAGAAACTTTAAGGAAACTACAATGTAACATTTGAATTAAAAGCCACAGGGGAGGTTTTAAATAAAGAATTTAGACTTAGAAGAGCAGCTTTATGTTTGAGAGGACCAATTTGAAAAGCTCTTGCAAGATGCAGAGACAGAGGAAAAAAATGATTAAACAGATGAGAAGAAACAATGATATCAAAAACATAAAGCAGAAGTTCAATAACAGATATTAAGTGTATGTCTGGGATGCGTCAGGGCAGTCAAAACGGAAGGGAGGATCAAGGGTATAACTTTTCTGAGTAACAAAGAGTCAAATATTTAGATTTTAAACATTCATTGTATTTTAGACAAAAATAGGTAAGAGGAAGCTCACAAAACCTAGAAGAGGATTAATAAAGCAATTCTTAAAGTATAAAGGCAATCAAAACCTGCTACCCTCCAAAAGGGAAAAATAAAACAATACTTAGTCCTCTTAACAATATTAATAATAAAACATAAATAAATAAAAGGGCAACATCTAAAAGATTTTCAGGGGAGAAATAAATGACTATAGTTAATAATACTGTATTACATATTTTCAAGTAGCTCAGAAAACTAAAAATGGAACTGCCTTTTGACCCAGCAATACCACTGCTGGGATTATACCCTAAAGATCCCAAAACACCAATTCAAAAGAACCTATGCACCCTGATGTTCATAAAGGTGTCATTTACAATAGTCAAGTGCTGGAAGCAACTTAAATGTCCGTCAGTGAACAAGTGGATCAAAAAACTGTGGTACATTTACACAATGAATACTATGCAGCAGAAAGAAAGAAGGGGCTACTACCCTTCGTGACACCATGGACGGATCTGGAGAGCATTATGCTCAGTGAAATAAGCCAGGTGGTGAAAGGCAAATACCATACAATCTCACCCATAAGTGGAACCTAATCAGTGAAACAAACAAGTAAGCAAAATACAATGAGAGACATTGAAATAAAGAGCAAACTGACAGTAACTGGAGAGGGTGGGAAAGAGGGATAATAGGGAGTAATAGGGGAAGGGCCATCAAAAAACATGTATAATGGACACATGGACAAAGCCAAAGGGAGTAGGTTTGAGGGTGGGAGGTGGGAATGGGTAGGGCAGAGGGTCATGGTGGGGTGAAAATGCAGACAACTGTACTTGAACAACAATAAAAAAATAAAGTAACTGAGTAGATCTTTAAAGTCCTCATAACAAGAAAAATATTTATAGTTATATAGAAGGACAGATGTTAACTGGACTTATTCTGGTGATCATTTTGCACTATATACAAATATCAAATTATTATGTTACACACCTGAAACTACTATAATGTTATATTTCCATTTTTATAAATAAAAAGTTCTTTTATATACAGAGTCAAGAGAAAGTTATTGAAACTTAACCTCTCATAGAAAAAAAGGTTTAATGAATATAGCATATATCTTTGTGAATACATTTGCAAAATTTTCAGGTAGAAACCCAATAGAGGTTTTTTTTTTTTAAAGGAGCTTCCATATTCTTTTCTTTTTTTCTTTTTTCTTTTTTTAAAATATATTTTATTGATTATGCTATTACAGTTGTCCCATTTCCCCCTTCACTCCCCTCCACCCTGTACACCCTCTCCCACCCACATCCCCCCCTTTAGTCATGTCCATGTGTCGTACTTATAATTTCTTTAGCTTCTACATTTCCCATGCTATTCTTACCCTCCCCCTATCTATTTTCAACCTACAATCTATGCTACTTATTCTCTGTACCTTTTCCCCCTCTCTCCTCCTCCCACTCCCCTGTTGCTAACCCTCCATGTGGTCTCCATTTCTGTGGTTCTGTTCCTGCTCTAGTTGTTTGCTTAGTTTCTTTTGGTTTTGCTTTAGGTGTGGTTGTTAATAATTGTGAGTTTGCTGTGCTTTTACTATACATGTTTTTTTTTCTTTTCTTAGATAAGTCCTTTTAACATTTCATAAAATAAAGGCTTGGTGATGATGAGCTCTTTTAACTTGACCTTATCTGAGAAGCACTTTATCTGCCCTTCCATTCTAAATGAAATCTTTGCTGGGTAGAGTAATCTGGGATATAGGTCCTTGTCTTTCATGACTTGGAATA